ATATACTATTTGCCATTCAATTTGGAAGGATAGCCTTGTGGGGTAGAGTATTCTTGGCTGGCAATTTTTGTCTTTTAGTATTTTGAATATATCATCCCATTCCTTTCTGGCTTCTAGGGTTTGTGATGAAAAGTCTGATGTTAGTCTGATTGGGGCTCCCTTATAGGTGACTTGCCACTTCTCTCTTGCAGCTTTTAAGATTCTCTCTTTGTCTTTGACTTTTGCCAATTTAACTATAACATGTATTGGAGAAGACCTTTTTGGGTTGAATACGTTTGGGGATCTTTGAGCTTCCTGAATCTGAAGGTCTGTGTCTTTTCCTATACCTGGGAAGTTTTCTGCCACTATTTTGTTCAGTATGTTTTCAATGCAATCTCCTTTTTCCTCCCTTTCTGGAATACCCATGACTTGGATATTTTCAATGCAATCTCCTTTTTCTCCTTTTTCCTCCCTTTCTGGAATACCCATGACTTGGATATTTGAGCGCTTAAGGTTGTCTGATATCTCTCTTAGATTTTCTTCAATGTTTTTAATTCTTTTTCTTTTTTTTTTTGTCTGCCGGTGTTCTTTCTTTCTTTTCTTTTTTGTAAAGATGACCAGTGAGGGGATCTTAACCCTCGACTTGGTGTTGTCAGCACCATGCTCACCCAATGAGCTAGCCTGCCATCCCTATGTGGGATCCAAACCCATGGCCTTGGTGTTATCAACACCACACTCTCTTGAGTGAGCCACAGGCCGGCCCTGCCTGTGTTATTTCAAACAGCCAATCTTCAAGGTCAGAAGTTCTCTCTTCTGCTTCTGCTAGCCTGCTGGTTAAACTCTCTGTTGTGTTTTTTATTTCGTTGAATGAATTCTTCAGCTCAGTGAGCTCTGCTACATTCTTTTTCAGGCCATTGATTTCCTTGTACATTTCTTCTTTCAGGTCCTGTATACTTTTCCTCATTTCTTCATGTTGTCTAGCTGAGTTGTCTTGTATCTCATTTAGTTTCCTTAGAATTATCAATTGAAATTCCTCATCAGACATTTCTAGGGCTTCTTGTTCTATAGCATCTAGGTCTTGAGAATTATTACCCTTTGGTGGTGTACTTTCTTGATTTTATATTTCTGGTATCTTTCCTTTGATGTTTCGTCATTGTGGCAGGGGATTTCATGGTCCACTGGTTTGACACTATTGTCTGGCTAGGATGCTGCTGGGGTTGCCAATTTGGCATAGCTACCTCAGTGTCTGCTTGGTTGCCCACTGGTGCCTCAGGTGTGTGGTTGCCTTGTGTCTTGGGCCTCTCCAGGGAGGTGCCTCTCTGATCGGCATGCACTCGGCCAGGCTGGGGATGGAGTCGGGTGGCGGTGGTGCGGCCTACCTGCTGGGTTGTGCGCTGGCACTGAAGGGTGCATGGTCTCTGTGGATCTTCTACACTCATGATCTTAACAGTGTCCATGGATTCTCTTCAACTTTATAATCTTCCTTCAAACCTCTCACCACCAGCTCTTCAGACTTATGAATCCAACTGTCGCTAGACATCTTCTCTTGGACATTCCACTGGTACCTCAAATCCATGTTGAACTCACTCGAAGCCTGCTGTCGTATTCTTGGTCTCAGTGAATGGGGCCATTACCATGTGGTTGTCGAGGTCATTCCTCTCCTTCCCGCCTTCCCTCTCCAAGCTCTATCAATTTAACTTCTAAATATTTGTCAAACACACCCCTTTCCATATCTGAGGATCTTAATTTTTTTTTTTTTTTTTTTTTTTTTTTTTTTTTCCGTGTCCGGCAACGGATCGCAACCGTCAGTTTCGCCCCCGTTCCGGACCGGGACCAGCAACG